GGATGTTGACGCGGGCCTCACGGGTGCCGACGGGGGGTGGCGGCACCAGCCCGAAGTCCACAGCGAAGCGGCCCAGCGCCAGCACGGCGTGGCCGCACATGGAGCTGTAGCCCTCGTTGTGCAGGAACAGGACGCCCAGGTGCGCCTCGGGCAGCTCGCTAGGCACTAGGACGGCCCCGTACATGTCCCGGTGCCCTCGGGGCTCGAACATGAGCCGTCGCCGCAAGTGGTCAAGGTGCTGGCGCATGTAGCGCCGCTTGTCCAGCAAAGTGGGGCCGACCACCTCTGGACACCCCGCCAGCACGATGCGCAGGGGCTCGCCGCCCGTGTGCATGTCCACCACCGACAGCGCCGGGGTCCCCGGGTCGTGCGGGGGCAGCCAGGGCACGGACAGCGACCTGGCCATTGTCTCCGTCCAGTAACTCCACCACGACCCCGCCGTGCTTATTTCCAGCCGCCAAGCTACTCTGGGCAGGATCTTTCTCAACCTCGGGGGGCGGGGCCTCGGGCTCTAGACCAGGATGTGGGCGGGGCTTCGGGGCGGTCGCCCTGGTTACTGGGAGGCGGAGCAGCCGAGGGTTCTGTGGCCCGGATGTTCGAACGCTGCGACCGGATCCGCTGATCCCAGAGATTCTCCAGAGGAGCCTACGAGCGGCCGATGGGTGAGTGATCCCCGATATCCCTGGAAGTGTTTGTCTTAGTCCCCGGTTTTTCCTTACGCAGCCGGTCCCGCTCTCGGCTCTCGGAGGGCGGCTTTCAGGTAGCGGCGAGTGCTCGCCTCTTGCTCCCACCCGCCCTCGGGCCGGGCCCCGCACTCCTCCCGGGGTTGGGGTGGTCTCTGGTCCTGACGCACTGCAGAGGGGAGGCGGGCTGTGTGCCGGGGAAAAGGCCAGGCCTTTGTTACTGATTTGTTCGAAATGTCACCTCAATCCCTTTGTTTAAGGCGGAGGAATCACATGCGTGAGGGTTGACTTCAACATTAAAAGCGCGGGCATTAGTGCAGAAAAATGCAGAAAAACAGTGAAGGCAGC